GGCGTCGCCAGTTGGGCGTGGCGGTTGGGGAAGGGGGGGCAGGGCCGCCGGTGAGGGCCGTGCTCTGCCCCCGCCGGGGCACGGCCGCCCCTCGGGCTGCGGTAGGGGCGCGGGGCCTCGCAAATCTGTTTCAGGTCTGTGTCTTACCCGTGTAACGAAACCGCACGCTTTCTGAAGCCCGGCTCCCGAGTCGGCGTACGTTGTTTCTCGCTATTGCACAGCTGTGTCTGCCGGTATTAACTGTGTGGATCGCTGGTGATCGCTAGCGTGCTCTGTGATTTTTGGTGTTATGTGGCTTTCCAATGGTACGGTTACAACCGAGGAAGCTTGGGAGACAGAGAAGTTTAGGTTACTTTTTTCTCCCTTTTAAAAAATTCCATTACTAAATTTATGTCAGTAGGATTGCATGTTTTATTTTTCAAACCTCAGTTTACTGCGTGCAGCTTGAAACTTGAGTAATCTTGACGAGCGGGTTTACTTTAATTGAAGGGAAATTCTTTCTAATTTAAAGTGTACGTTTTAACTGTGTGTTTCTCTAGTGTGTTTACACAGTTTAACTTTTTCCCTATCAGTAGTTTATCACTTGCCATTTTAAAACATACTTTCTCTACGCAATAGTGGGAGGAAAAATACTAATCTATTAACTCAGATTAAGCTGCAGAACCAGAAGGGTGCCTGGAAAAATATGGTAAAGACTCTGTCAATTTGGAAGAAAGGAATTACGTGTGTAATGTGACTTTAGTTCCAATTAAGTGATAGCATGTTTAATGTTCTATGAAGTATTATACGCTTTAACAGATGAATTGAAGCTAGTGTCTATGCTTGTTTTGAAAGGCGTGAAGCGTCATGCTGTAGCAGAGCATGTTATGTATGATTATAGGTTGCAGAGGAATGGCAGTGTGTTTGAGAAATTGTGTGTGGTCACAGAAAAACAAGAAAGTTGCGATCAGTTCTGAGAAATTGTGTGTGGTCACATGTAAATGAGAAAAAGTTGTGGTGAGTGGAAAAGAAATCCGTGTGTGTGTTTTGGAGGGAGGCGGGGGTGCTGCTTCCACTTTCTCCCGTGTATTACGGTGTGACTCTGAGTAAGCTGTTCGGTCTCTGAACAAGTTTCCCCATTGTGTTAATGTTTGCTTTCTTCAAGATCTACAAAGGAGATGGGCAGTGTAATTCTTGAGCTAGCATTTTTAGTAATGCTTCATTATATTTGCCATGCTGAAGGTTAGAGTAACCACTGCATGTGCAGTTCTTGATATTTGTTCAGCATGTTTATAATATTCTTGTGTAAGTATAACTTTTGCGTTGTTCCCTTTTACATCTCGACAGCAATTTACATAGCTTACTTTATTAAAAACACGTAACAAAGTTTTTCACAGTTGTCTGGAGTTTGGGTAGATTTATGGAATGGTACTGGAAGGTGTCTATAAAGAGGTGGGACTCTTTCTGCTATGAGTTGTGGGCTCTTACAGAGAGGTCTGAGGTGAGAGCAGTCCTATAGTAGGATGTATGATACAGTTGCAGGAAACGATCTTACTTCCTCAGTTCTGGAAGCCATTTTTTTGGTTCTAGTTTTAAAGGAAAGGGGAGACCTTTTCTATCAAATCTCAACTGCTAAACAGGTATTTTAATCCTGATCATGATTAGATTTGGCTAGAGTGATCAGTGGAATGGCATGTTCTTCTTACTGATTTGTAACAGCAACAGCTTTTTAAACCATGCTTAAACACAGGCTTTTTAAAACAAATTCCTACTACTTATAATCTCACTTTTTTACTTGCAGTGTAACTAGACTATTCTCATCACTACCACATGCAATGTAATTTGAGTTTATCTTGCAGCTGATATGCATGCTTCCATGTCACTTAAACTTATCGTACTGTGATAAAGCTATTGAAAAACTCCTAGTCCAAAATTAATAGTTGTGAGCTGTGTTGTAGTTGTTAGATTTTATAGGTACTTTATGAAGGTAAACTGCTTCTAATCATCTTTTCAATTTCTGATGTAATCCAAAATTTTGCTCACAGCTATTTGTTATCATCAGCCATTTCTAAAACAATTTGTCTATTCTGTTTTTTTGATTTTTATATTAATACTGTTAAAATCTGCAAAATTAATTTAGCTGATAGGTTTGCTGCTGATAAAAGTAGTAGCGTAGTTCTCAATTCTACTTGTTGCTCAAATGATTAATTTGAGTGAATCCTTTTTTAATCAATACTGTAAGGAGTTAGAAAGTGGTATGATCAGAAAAATAGAGTCCGTTTTAATTAAATAGGGTTTTAGTTATCACTTCTTAAAGATCTTTCTAGTGCATATGTTATTACAAACTAATGCCATGTCTATTAGGTACAGAGAGACCAAAACAATATTAAATGATTCTTTGAACAGGCAGGTAGATGGCAGCTGAAGAGCTTTATCAGATTTTTCTTTTGGGGGGGGTGTGTGCAGCAGAAAAGGGGACAGCCAGCTGTGGGATCCCACAGACTGTGGGATTTAGACCTTATCGTCAGTTAGGAGCTGGAAGCAAGGTCTTAAACCCTTATTGGAAATGGAACTTGAACTCTTCACTGTTTTAAGCACTTTCATCTCATATTTTTCTATTACATATGAGTCTGTAAAGTTTTCTTGATGGGTCACATTTATGTGGAAATCATGTAGTTGTAAGTTCAGTCACTTACAACAGTGGATTCTGAGGTTTTTGCTGACTCTGATAATCTGTTAAGAAACATTGAAATTACTGAGTTTCTCCCAATGTTAAACTTATGACGCAAATATGTGGCAAACTTCTTTCCCTCAGTTAGAAAGAGCTTTTAACTAAGAAATAACAGAATGTATTGTTGGCCCCAAAGCAATCCATACCTCATCTTTGCTCCGTGTGACAAATAATACCCGAGTAGGATTTTCCTAGGTGGTGCCACTTAATATATTGAGAATGGGAGCTGCAGAAAGACTCTGTGGGTTTGAATTTGTGTTGCTGACGATGTTTGGGGATTAACTAATATGCTAGACTTATTTTTCTTAAGGGTGTGGGGAGTACCAGGTACTATTAGACTTCAGACCCATGTCTGTTTGTTGCTAGGTGGTTTTGACTGTTTCTGTTTGATAGGTGGATAAATCCTGCGTGATACTTCCTCAGATCAGCACCGACTACAGAAGTATACTAAGCAGGAAAGCTATATACTATGACCAAACAGTGATTTGGTAGTTATGTCTGTGATATGCCAAAACTGTTTATGTTGGCAGATGTACAAATAGTGACATTGCTGAAAAATGTATTCTTATTTTCACAATGTATTTCCATTTCCCAGTTATAAAAAATAGACACTAACCAGGGATGTGTGATAGATGCTCTCAGGGCAAGCATAAATTAGACAGTATCTTTTGGAGCTTGAAATTACAGAGGATGAAGCAGTCTTTGGTACCGGCATAAATCGTGCTCATGTTATCTTAAGGAATCTGATGTTTCTCCTAGAAAACAATACCTCTTGGCCATTATACCCTTCTTTTTAATACAATGGGCCCTAAGCTTTGCTCTATATTGGAGCATTGGAAAGCGTAACTTCTAACTCTGGACTGAATTGTGTGGCGCACACATAAAGCTTTATAGACTATCTTAACCTGCTAGCGACTGGAGTTTCAGTACCCTGTGCTGGGTGTGTGGGAAGCTGACAGTGCTCTCTTTAGTGAACTGGAGTAAGAATTTTGTCTTAACACAAAATTGGAAATAGTTTAGTGTGCTAAATAGGTTACCTGCTATTTCTTATTGCTGAATGAAAATACTGTTCTGTAAGCTGCATCTGATTCGGTTAGATAATTTCA